GCATGGATGCCGCGCAGCTGGCCGGAGCAGTTGACCTTTCAGACTCCGGTTCACCGGGAGCGGGCATGTGGCACTGCATAGCCTCGTGCAAGGGATCTTCGAGAAGGTTGAAGCGCCGCGACGGGCTCCGTGCCGTTCCTGGCAGGTGTTCGTTCTTCGCGATCTGTGGCACTCGCCCATCGGCCGGCTTTGTGCCCAACGAGCTGGAATCGTGCCCTAAGTGGTCAGAGCGTTACAGAGCAAGAAGAGCAAAACAGAAGCTAGAGAAGACAAACATTCAAAAAAGGGTTTTCACAGCCGGGAGACTAGAGGTTCCTGGTGCTTGCAACCAAGCCCTTGGACTTTGCGACACGTGGCTAGAGCTCGCGGTGGTCCCTGCAGTTGATACCTCGGACATGCATCTCTTGAAAACTCCTGCGGAGGACTGGCGGCTGACCGGGTCAGAAAATGGAGAACTCGGCATTCCGTTTAGCTCGAACGACATAGAAGCGTTGGCAGACGGCATGCTCGGCGCGCTCTTTGCCTGGCTGTCCCACGACCCGGGAAAGCAGAATTGTCTTGGTCATTGTTTGGTCGTTTCTTGTACAGGAAGACTCGAGAAGAGAACCTGAATCTCCCGCAATCCCACCTGCAGCCGCCAGCCAGCAAGCCCGGGTCCCTTGTAGCCGTGTTAGCCTGACCCCCAAAACCCTTGCCCGAAACCTTACGCTGATGTGAAACCCTCGTTATAACAAGAGCACGAATGTATTACTGCCAGTATGAATCAGTATTACCTGTTTGTAGGACAGCACTATTTGCGATTGTTTCCCAAACAGTGGGGTGCACATCAGGCGGTACCAATCTTCGCCACGCAGCGCCCATGGGAAAACGTCCCTGCATCCCCTGGTGCAGTACATATTTTGCGCCCACGTCCTATTTTGTATGATGCAGGGCTGCTGCCCCCTCACTCCAGCCCCACGGTATCCACCCATTGCCTTGTTCTTCTTGTTTGGCCTTGTCCCCTCCCCCGCCCACCCCTGTGGGGTGGGGGCCTGTGGTCCTCTATGGCGCAGCCCGGCCTGTGGCGTGGTGCCTTTGGTCTTGCTTGGGTTATTGATCTCTCATGAGCTTCTGCGTCACCCACATCCTCCCATGCTGTGAGTTGCTGCTGTGTGTTCTGCAGAGGTGTGCTGCAGCTGTTTGTCAGAAGGAATGTCATCGTTATGGTGATCGCTACGATACTAGAGGATGTGATGTGGCCCTTTTCTCCCTGTCCCTGCTCTGATGCGTCTCTCCCCTCTGTGCAAATGCATAGGTTGTCACGCGGCGGATCATTGCAGTGGCACCGGTCAATTCCCTCGTCCTCCCTCCGTGTGGTTTGCGTGGGTTTCGTTCTGGTTCGGGGTGGTGACGATCCCATCTTCCGAAAACGACGGCTGTCACGAGTACGAGGATCGCCGTGAGCCAGCGGGGCCGGGTGGATCGCCGTGGAACGTTGCATCTCCAGGAGGCGGGACTGGAATACGCTTTTGCCTGCCTTCAACACTCTCAATCCCGCCAGTACTTGGGGGAAACCTGAATACTGCCAATATCCGCCAATGCTCCACTGTGCTCCTGAATCGCGCCAGTATTGTCGTTTCCTGATGGCTTCCTGGCATTTGCTGGTGGTCTCTTCGTGGTCTCCTAGTCGTTTTTTGGTCGTTTCCCAGCCTCCTCGTGGTCTTGGTGGTCGTAGTGGTGGTCCTAGTGGTATCTAGTGGTCCTATACAGTGATCGTGGGCGTCATGGTCGTCGCGGTGCTTTCCAACTGTTGGGAAACGTACGCTGCAGTGTCGTCGAGTCGTCACTCCTCTGTACTCAGAAACCTCAACCAAGAAAATCCAAGCTGCAGGGGGTAGTTCAAAGGATGCTGTCCGCAATGCAGTCGATGAGGCGCCACTGGACTGCGTGTTAGATCGGCCCAGCTGGCCTGGTTGCGGTGTTGGTTCTTGCACAGCTTCATGAGGAAGTGTTTGGGTGTGGAGTTTGGGATATGTAAAGTTCACGCAAAAAGAATAGACTGCAATGCAATTGGGCAAAAAATATACTGCTATGCAATTTGGCAAAAACAGCTGATTCCTACACGACTCTGTCGCCCACAGCCGGCCTAGCACTTCTTCACTTAAGTCCGAAATGCACGAAGACTTGCAGCATCCAGCCCGCGACACAATCCTTCTGCAAGGGCTTATGCTTCACCGAAGTCGCAAACCGCACCGCCGTGCCTGATCTCGGTCCTGGACGCTTAATACTCTCTGCGAGTCGGATCAACTCAATGGACTGTGCAAACTCGTCTGGGTGCCGCTTCACGAAGCCCATCATGGTCTTCACAGTCATCTTTTCCGAGTTGGCCCTGCGTGGCCTCTGCGAAGACTGGTCACCTACGCGCACGTGCTTAAAGGTCCACTGCTTGGTTGAGCCTCCCAAGCACCGTATTCCGTCCGACAAAGCCCTGTGAAAGCCTGCCACTAGCCACCGAGAGGCCATTGACCGCAGTGCTGTCATCTTGGAGAAGCCACAAGCTCGGCTGACTAATCCTGAGATTTTCTTACCCAGAGAATAACCATGCAGTAACTAGTCTAAGTAGTACCCAGTAGTGTGTAATAAACGACAGGTCCCGAAAAAGGAAAAAGATAAGGAGGAGGAGGAGGAGGAGGAGGAGATATTTCTAAGTAGGAGTCAGCAGGATGAAGAGAAGCTGAAGCATTAGGATGAGGAGTGTGGCCGGGCAAAGGCAATAGCAGCGTAGAAGAAGAAGAAGAAACATAACAGCGAGAGCCGCCCACCATCTTCGTCAAAAGAAGGCTACATGCCAGACTGCTTTCTCTTCAACCGAGGTTGCGTCAATCATGGCCCACCTAGAGAGACTACTCCTTTGCGAGAACAATCAATGAGTTGCTACCCGCAGAGACGCACAAAGAACCTCGTGGGTTCAAAAGAAACAAACACGATCCTACATGCCAACATGCACCGAAACACTGCACCCGAACCAATATCCGGAGGCATGTGAACAGCCACCGTTCTGCGTACATACATGCCAGATAATAGATTTTCTCATGCCCCGAATGCAGGCATGCACAGAGATAGGCATACACACACACACACACACACATAAGCATATTGAACAAAGAACCAAATAAACAAATATAACAAACATACGTATATGCATATAACTACATATACATAGACATATGTTTGTATATACAAAATGTATATATACACACACATCATATTAAGATAGATAGACATAGATAGATCGCCACATGCATGTGCACACATATCTTGGATATAGATGTGCAGTTGCGTGCTGTGCGTCCTAAGCACGCCTCCCCTCCCGCCTCTGCACCCCCTCTCCCCCCCGTGGTTTCCCACCCGGCCGATTCCCGATCAAAAGGAGCGTCTGTTTCGTGCCTGTGTTGTATCGTGTATACAAGTACATACGCACAGGGATGCTACTGGAGCAGCTAAGACTCCTGGAGTCTTGGCTGATCGAGCGTTGCATCGTCGGAACATCGTTTGTGAAGCATCGCATGTTGGAGGTGCTTCTGGATCTCTTCCGTGTGCTCAGAGTCGGTGTCTCCTGGGGTGGACTCACCGCTCTCGAAAATACTCCAGAACCCGTCATTACAGCAACATGGACCTCCAAAGCAGGTGAGCATCAAGGATTCTAAGTATATGCTTTGACACACGAGTGTGTGGGGCGGTACAGTCGGGAGTACCGACTGAAGGACCCTGGCTAGTTCAGTTCATACTGATGGACATCCGAAGAATAAGAAACGGCACAAATGCAGCTGTGCATACCTAGAAACTGGTAGTTACGATTTGTGCGGTTCAAACCAATGTAGTGTAATCGATCGGAACACCAGAAAAGTGCAGCTTGGCCTCATTTAAAAGCAACAGCGGCAGTGACGGTCAGCTGGGGCCATAGGCAGCGCAAAGCCAGAACTTAAATCCTAGTGGGGCTAGCGGTGAACTGCTGCTCAAGCCTGTGTTAAGCGTTGTTGCGGAAATCGCCAACTGCTTGGATCTTAAACTGTGGCTAATGATGCATGCCCTGTATACACTAGGCGAGAAGGTTCTGAGTCGTGCGGAACCAGAGCTGATGTGGTGACCCTTCCATGGCAGCATCCGAGATTTTAGGGTGAGAGAGCAGATCTAAGTTGACTGGTTCTGTGGAGGCCTTCTAGCGCATTGCTTGCTCACAGGCCCCAGGAGTCTTAACTTGCTTTGCGATCTCGGGAGCCAAGCAACGCGGTTCAACTGGACGCCTCGTGCGGCGTCATTGAAATCTTGCTGTTGGTGTCGCACGTTGTCAATGAAGGAGTATGAAGAGGACATCCCCGCGCATAATTTAGGATTGTACCAGAGTCCAGGTGCAATACTCTGGAACGTGATACTGCTGATACTGATGTTGATGACAACTTGGGACATGAGAGATGGTGCTTCTGGCCGATGTGGCCATGTGGGCCCGACCAATTATGAAAATAATATGCTTGTCAGCTAGTCAGATCGGTTGCCGAGTTTTGTCCAACCTAAACATTCTCGGGACCTGAGGACATTAGTGCAACACCGCCATGAGCTCCAACAGACAGAAACAAAGCAGCATCACAACAACTCCAACAACCGCGATCTCAACAGCAGCAACAGCTACAAAAAGAGACAGGAAGTACCGGCACCGGCACCGGTACTGCCACCACCCGCCGCCGCCGCCGCCTGAAACCACAACCGCAGGAAGACGAAGAAAACGAATCATGATACGAAATATGAGAAAACAGCAAGAATACTTTCATTTGCAACAACAACAAAAACAAGACCGACCGCAACAGCAGCAGCGGCCACGACACCAACCACAATCACAACCACGACGACGACAGACGCTAGCACATTAACTCCCCCCAACCCTGATCCCGCGTCCAATCTTGAATTCCGACGAAATTTTGGCTCTGCCCTCACTACAAGTCACACTCGACCTGCCGCGTGAAGGCCTTCTTCCGCCGTTTCTTCTCACCGGGCTCGCAGAGGTGGCAGAACTTGCAGTCCACTCCATCCTCGACGGTCGTGAAGGGGTTCATAATTGAGTTAACCGATTCAGCTCAAAAGCAGGAGTGGCGTGGCTACTTGGGCATGCATGCGCCCGACGAAATGTGTGCGGAGCTGCTGTGTCTCAAAACCGGTGGTCAAGAAGGAACGAGGGTCGTCGGTTTGGAAGATTGGTATGTAACAGATGGAGTCTCCGGCAAGGCCCTGCGCTCGACGTTGCTCGACAGCTATGCTGTGGCAACCTACCAACATGCTGGAACTAGAACTCAAACCTTGTTGTGATGGATCTTTCTAACAACAGGTCTTGTTCAAGTCCAGCACATGCAACGTAACAGTGTTAAGGACATCGAACCCGATGCTTGCATTGCGCCTACAATCTCGCCGGTCACCGGCCTGTGATGGGATGCAAGTCTTGACGGAATGTCTGCCATACTTCCAACATTGCTCCCCATGGGCAGCTATCTCAAGCAGTCGCAGGGATAGGCGCCCGGCTTTGCAGCCCTTGGTGTTCCAAAAAGCGCAAGGCTTGCACAAGCGCAGATTATGTCCTGCCAGGGACGTCGTGTTGGATGAAAGGGACACAGCGCTTGGGGTCTGGGAATTTCAAGCACGAGACCTGATGTCGGGTCGAAGTGCCATGTTATATCTTTGCCGTGTCTCGCGGGTTAGGTGTCGCTATGACAGAACCATGTGCTGATTAATCCAGGGAATGAACAGGCTATTATTGCGCAGCAAGGCTTGTTGCGAGCGATTACTAGCATGAGCAAGGCCAGCAGTCACTGAAACTTGAACCCTGCACGTGTGCAGCGGCCTCGGGAGCCAATGTTCAGATCCTGACCATCTACTGGGCCAGGCGTCCTGGGCCTTTCAGGATTTGCATTCAAGGTTCAGTGTTGAGTGTCGAAGCCGGAACTTGCACGATAAAACTCCCAAATTTGTCTGCAACAGAAAACCGATATGAATCAAGCTTTGTAAAATCTGGCTGTGGTATGTGGTTCGTCAAACCCTTGCTCTCCACCAAACAAGAACACCGTGCTGTAGTTCACTTTGAGAACCCGCATCAGGCAATGCCAGTACTGCAAGATGCGTCAGTGTTTTCCGTGCAGCGCCGTCGCACGTCTTAGACGCGGCCACGGTGGCCACAATGATACTTATGCTATTTAAGGTCGTTGCACACACGCCTCGACAACGTTAGAGTTCTTCCCGTTCCTATGGGCATTGCTTCATGACTAAATGCTGCGACTTGCACACTGTGAGTCGACAGTGACAATCTACATAGGTTCAGAAACTCCTGGTGGCGTCATCTATTGGTTGGAGCTAGAACTGCCATCTTTGTCAGCCCTTTTGATGAACACAACCTTTATGAATTGGGGAATCTAAGTCACAACATGCTCTTTGTCAGCCCTTTTGATGAACACAACCTTTATGAATTGGGGAATCTAAGTCACAACATGCTCTTTGTCAGCCCTTTTGATGAACACAACCTGTGTGAATTGGGGATTCGAACACTAGTAACCCCAAAAAGAGATGCACCATTTGGCGATTCGGTGCCGCTCGACTTCCGGCATCTGTTATTTGTGCGCGGAGATGCTTCGATTCGGTGCGTTCATCCTGTCCTGCATCCCTGCTGTGTCCTGTATTGTCGTCTGTCCTTTGGTCTGTCTTCGTATAGGTCCTGTTATTGTCTCTTCATCTGCACTCTTATATACCTGTCTTCTTGTTTATCCTCTCATCTGTGCGGACCTGCTGCCGTCGCTGTCCCCATTTATTACAATCCAGCAACCCCACGGACGATATGGAAGGACATTCCGGCAACAATGTTGTTGTTCTCTCGTCTGTGTTCGGGTCTGTCCTTGTATCCTCCTTTGTCAGTCCTGTTGCTCACAAGGCACGCAAACTGGAGTGTTAAAGGAATGTGCACTGGTCACTAGTCTGGGCACCCGTTTACACGGTGCTCAGCTAAGAATTTAATCTGAAGAGCTTGCAGGTTGAACCAGGCTCAGTGCCACTTCCTGTAAACTAGCTGCTACCAGCATCATGCAGTCCCAAATACGAAATGACTGACGACTGTTGGGTCCATGCCTTGGCGAGTCAGAACTGTCCTGGAGAAAACTCAGGTTGAAGTGTGAAGCTCGAGGGGCTCAGGTGCAGATTTGCGGAGGTGCTGCTTTCCGGCCTTTAGGTGCTTGGATGGGGCTTTCAAAAGCTTAATATTAACATGCTGGAGCTTGTGCATGCGTGCCCGTGCATGCGTGCGTGCGCGAGTGGGCGGGGTCGACGGACGGATGGACGATGGACGGCGGTGCTGGCGGTGTGGGGTGGCGTGGGGCGGGCGGGTGGGCGCATCGTGTGCGCTTTCGCATGCGGATGGGAGTGTGGGTGTGGCGCGGGTGTGGGCGTCGGGGTGGGCGTGGGCCTGGTTGTGGGTGAGGGTTTGCGTCTTTGTGTCTGTTTGTGTGTGTGTGTGTCTTTATGTCACTGCGTGTGTGTTTGTTTGTGTGTGTGTGTGTGTTCGCGCGCGCGTGTGTGCGTGCGCGTGCGCGTGCGCGTGCGCGTGCGCGTGCGCGTGCGCGTGCGCGGGGGTGGTTGGATTGGGGTGGGATGGGGGTGGGTGTGTGGGTGTGTGGGTGTGTGGGTGTGTGGGTGTGTGGGTGTGTGGGTGTGTGGTGTGTGGGTGTGTGGGTGTGTGGGTGTGTGGGTGGGTGGGTGGGTGGGTGGGTGGGTGTGTGGGTGTGTGGGTGTGTGGGTGTGTGGGTGTGTGGGTGTGTGGGTGTGTGGGTGTGTGGGTGTGTGGGTGTGTGGGTGGGTGGGTGTGTGGGTGTGTGGGTGTGTGGGTGTGTGGGTGTGTGGGTGTGTGGGTGTGTGGGTGTGTGGGGGTGTGGCGGGTGGGGGTGTGGCGTGTGGCGGTGTGGGTGTGGGGGTGTGGGGGCATGGGTGCGTGGGTGCGTGGGTGCGTGGGTGGGTGCGTGGGTGGGTGCGTGGGTGGGTGCGTGGTTGGGTCGTTGGTGGTGCGTGGGTGGGTGCGTGGGTGGGTTCTGGTGGGTGCGTGGTCGGTGCGGGTGGGTGTGGGTGTGGGTGTTGGGGGTGTGGGTGGGGGTGTGGGTGGGTGTGGGGGTGGGTGTGGGGGTGTGGGTGGGGGTGTGGGTGTGGGTGTGGGTGTGGGTGTGGGTGTGGGTGTGGGTGTGGGTGTGGGTGTGGGTGTGGGTGTGGGTGTGGGGGTGGGTGTGGGGGTGGGTGTGGGTGTGGGTGTGGGTGTGGGTGTGGGTGTGGGTGTGGGTGTGGGTGTGGGTGTGGGTGTGGGTGTGGGTGTGGGTGTGGTGTGGGTGTGGGTGTGGGTGTGGGTGTGGGTGTGGGTGTGGGTGTGGGTGTGGGTGTGGGTGTGGGTGTGGGTGTGGGTGTGGGTGTGGGTGTGTGTGTGGTGTGTGTGTGTGTGGTGTGTGTGTGTGTGTGTGTGTGTGGTGTGTGTGTGTGTGTGTGTGTGTGTGTGTGTGTGTGTGTGTGTGTGTGTGTGTGTGTGTGTGTGTGTGTGTGGTGTGTGTGTGTGTGTGTGTGTGTGTGTGTGTGTGTGTGTGTGTGTGTGTGTGTGTGTGTCTGTGTGTGTCTGTGTGTGTCTGTGTGTGTCTGTGTGTGTGTGTCTGTGTGTCTGTGTGTGTGTGTGTGTGTGTGTGTGTGTGTGTCTGTGTGTGTCTGTGTGTGTCTGTGTGTGTCCTGTCTGTGTGTGTCTGTGTGTGTCTGTGTGTGTCTGTGTGTGTCTGTGTGTGTCTGTGTGTGTCTGTCTGTGTGTGTGTGGGGTGTGTTTGAACCCCTGAGATCAAATAGGGAGCTGTTTCTGGTTGAAAATAAGCAGGGGGCCTGAGGCTCACAGACAGGACTCAAGCCAACGAAGACGCCTGTCTGCTGAGTGTGATATGATCCTGGGACGCTGGAATCACGTACCTGCAAGTGATCATGGCAAGGGGCTAAGCCAAGAACCCCAATAAGATTCCTGAAGATTCCTGCAGTAACAATCTAGCTACTCCCACCATGGAGTTTGCAAGTGTGTTCTCGACCGGCATTCTGTCAAAGGGAGTAGCAACTGCTTGACGTCTTGATACAACAGTTCCAGACATTGAATGTCTCTTCTTGATCCGCAGCGCCCTGATTCAATAGATTCTTGAACGCTGCTGATAAATTGAATGACTTCTTGATTCTTTCAAACTTGATTGACTTCTTGAATGATCGATGAATGTCCTTTCTTGATTCCTTCTGTGATTCTTTTCGACGTTCCGGAAATCAGCTACATCAAAGCATGTCTTGGACTCAGGAAGAATGGGATTCGTGGAGAAACGGAACCTGGGGCAAACAGCCTCCTCCGGTACCGTCCACACCTCCCAATGCTCCGAAAACCAAAGAGTTCGGAAGCCCTCAAGGGCCCTTCAAACCATTACGAAACTGATCTCCCCAGAACCTTTCGAAGTGATCGCGATTTCTATGACACCAATGAGGTGTAGATACAGGCATCCAGCTGGGCTCAAAAGCATCAGCTTGCTGGCAGAGACCTAACCTCCATTAAGTTGCATGAAGTCTGCTGGCAAGGATGGAACAACTTTTCTGTTCGAAGCCTGGCCCAAGGCCGGTACACGAGCATTCTTTTTGATCGATCCATCGAAGAAGCCACATTCATGTCGTTTCTAATGCAGAAGTTCCGGGAAAACAAAGTGGACCTGGATCAGTATGCTTCTGTATATTGTTGATCAACAAGGCATCAATATTGATGCTACTGAAAGTGAGTCATCTCAAAAAAGTGCCAAAATGCGGCACTTTTGCGAGTTCATCTTTGACCAGTGTAAAGAGTTTCAGCAAAAGGAGCTCTGCGACGCCCAAGACGCATTCGTGAGCTCGAGCAACAGCTTGTTGCGGCACAGAAAGGTGCCCCAGCAGCTAGCTCTTCTGTGAAACCAATGTCCAAACGGACTTCGGATGCAAGTCAAAACAGCGAGAACCCACGGAAACGAAGGCTGCCTCTTGCCACCCCATCGGGAAACGAGTCGACGAAATCGACTCAAACCCTGCTTCAGAAAGCTTTTGATCCTCATTTTCCAGCCCAACGGGCTCTTGACAATCAAGCTCCTGTCACCGCTGTTCCCCAATCCACAACAAAGTGGATCCAGAATTTGAACTTGGAGCCCAAGCTCAAACAAGAGCTTTTACAAAGCTGCAACGCAGCTAACAATACTATCAAATCACTTTCTGATGAAGACAAAGAAGCTCCACAAAGAGCTGCGGATTTTGGCTTTCCTGTTCGCTCACTATCGGGAGCCAAAGAAGCCGCCCTTTTGAAGATCGTCTTGGCAGCTTGTGCCCTTGCCTCTTGACTGGAGGACAAAAATCACGATCTTGTACTTGACAACGAGTGCCGGCAAAGGATGCAAACAATCCTTTCTATGTAAAAAACTTGCTTACAGGCTGCCATTACCGAGCCAGAGTTCATGCCTTGGCGGTTTGGTTTTCGGGTGTTGGGTGCTTTTGTGGTGTTGGTTCTACTTCTTCGCCAAAATGGCACAGGAAAACTGGCTCGCTGGCGCCAACGATTTCAAGAGTTTGAAGGATTTCATGATCGGAACTTCATTTCTGCGATTTCGGTCGCACGCATGTTTCTCGAGCCCTTTGCGGCCTATATTCTGACCACTGCTCCAATTGAGCCCTTTTTCCAGATTGGGCCTGACTTTTATGTTGGCTCCACAGCTGTTTCTATTCAGAAGAGGCAAGACACTCGTCTCAGAAAGCTTCGACAGCTGCTGGACCTGAAACCGGTCCATGCTGAGCTCGTTTTACATTGGCAGGTTTCGCACCAGTGCCTCGGGCATCTCATTGTCATTCCTTTGGCGACCATGCAATCGCTCCGTCAAATTCGTACACTGGAACTCACTCTTATTCAGAGGTGGAATCGAGCTTTGAATTACACCTTCATCCTGAAAAAGCGGATGACGAAAGTGGGTCCTGATTATTCGTGTACAATTCGACGAATTGCTTCGTCTTACAATGTTCCAGGTCGTCGTCTGCACAAGAAACTTCGTGCAAGACTACATAAGCTGGGAGCTTTATCTCTGTACAGCACTGTGAAACAGGAAGTGCATTCTTCTTGGATGATTTTAACGATTTTGGCTGAAAGGTCTCTCGCTTCCTTCAACATGGAGCGACGACTACGGTCATGCTCGTATTCATTGTCGCATGTTTATGCACTGTTTCGGCTGTCGAACAATTTAGAAGAACCTCCCAAAAGTTTGGTGCAAAGCATCCTGATTCGAGTGCTGACGTTTAAAGGCGGCCACGCTCCGCCAAAAGCACGCCGGATCAAGATTCCATTCCTGTCCCACAGTGATTTCCGGAACGCCACCAAGAAGTGGTTGAAGACGAGAATTATGCCTTTTAAGGATTTCTTGATTCCTTTTCACTTGCCTCCATGCCATGTCGTTTCTGCTGCCCATTCTTCGCTGGGCACCACGCTGACGAACCACCATGCCATGATGGCACAGTTTTCCTTGGACTGTCAGCCGATCTGTCGGTGTGCTGAATTCAGATGCAAACACCCTGATGTGGCTGGAGTAGTTCATCCTCAAGATGGACATTGGCATGTTGCCTCGCCTTTGGACAAACTTTCTGTTTCCAGGCGACTTCGCTGCCTACTCGGCACCAGTGCAAAATCACAGGTGTATCCTGCTCGCACTTCGTATATCAATGATACATGGAAGGAGGTACAACGGTGGGCCAAGCGTCACTTCGTACCAAACGTGGTTTTTTCTGACTGGGAACGATTTGTCTGTGATCAATGGTCGCGACACATCGTCAACAGCAAGACACCACTTTCTTTTGACGATGGCAAGTACATCAAATCTGTCATTGATGGCTACGTGGTACAAGGCAGAGACCATGCGCCCCACCATTTGCATGTTTTTTGCCCTCTCTTCTACTGGCGAATACTTCGCAGCACCTTTGTAGATGAAGACGTTTACCTGCCATCTCTTTTGACACCCAGCCAAGCCACAGCTTTTCTCGGCAACTTAACAAAGAAGCCCTGGCTTCGACAGTACAGGTGGGGAGTGCAGGAAACAGCGAAGCTACC